AATAAAAGAGTTTCTGATTCTGCATTAAGCAAAGAATACCAATAAAATAGGGCTCTCGTTTTTTTCTAGTTAAATATGATAATTACGAAGGCTTAATTATACAAAAATAATATAACAAAGTATTATTCAAAACAAAAACTTTAATTCATTTTTTAATTCATCTATTCCCCACTTCATTATAATAATTGTTTTCGCACAAAGCACTAAATGTAATAAGAAGTAACACAACATAGTTTAATCAGAATTTTATTAATAATGATATTTACTGGGTTATGCATTTCTTCGTCATACACGATGAAAATATGTCAGTAGTTTGTCATATTTTCGTCATACTTACACATTTTCAATTCTGCGTGACTAGGAAACTCTGCGTTGTCATATTCAAACGCAAAGAACAAGTACAGTAGTTAAGAACCTTGCTAATCATCTCGTAAAACTTTATTAAGGGGCTTATATACAGAATGTTTCTAAAGTTTGACAAACTCTTGGAATAAATTCTTCACACCACAGTAAACAAACGATTACATTATATTCAACGATAAATTGTTTAATCATAAAATTTGACCAATATTAAATTATAATAACTAAAAATTCACAATAATGTTCAAAATATCTTCCATTTAGTTGGATGCAGTATGCAGCTATTGTATTATATCAGATTATAACGGTTAAAACATTAATAATATATTTAATGCAAAAAAATGGTCGGATTAAGTAAAACCAAAGTAAATGAGTAAATACGATAAACGTGTACGATATGTGTGTCATGTTCCGGTCTGACAATTAAAACCATTTGTTTTTATTATAATATTTAATATATTTATGCCAAACGACATTTGGCAGCGCCAAGTTCTTGCATTAAATACTTCATTAATTTTTATGTCACACAATAAATAAATAAATAAATAAACAAATAAATATATACAGGGTGTCGGATTCGATTTGGACCACTCCAAAGATTATAGTAGATTGGGTCAAACTGAGAAGAAAAGTTATATAACATTTTACTAAATCCGCAATTATTATCGCGTAATTAAGAAAAACGTCTGAGCCAACCCAGTGAGACAAAAAATGTCGATCCGACATCAAATCGACGTCGAGATGCGTATTCGAAATGAAATCAAAATTAAAATCGACATCGATCTCTTTTTGTCACTGATGTCGATGTCTTGTCGATTCAAACTGTATAATCGTTTCGACGTCGATCACATATCGATATATTCTGCCTATGGTTTTGTGTGTGTGAAGCTGGCATATCATTTCGTGGAAAATCACTAATTTTTTAGAGTTCTGACTTCCTTTCTAATAGTTCTAGAGTTCCCACATAGTTCTGGCTTTTAAGACCAAAACATGGAAAAGTGCAAACTGATTTGCTAACTTCACGCTGCAAATCACTTTGTCCCCGGATGATTTCTTAATTATTTCTGCTAGGATTTGTATCGCATGATAGTTCTACAATAGTTCTAGAAAGAGTTCTGGCGAAAAAACATTATTTTTATAATTTAAAAAATTGTTATCACTCTACAAATAGATCCTCATGAAGACAAAGGTGATTTGCTGTCCGAAATAACAGAGCTCTGACTTTCTACAAATAGTTCTCGCATAGTTCCGAACATATATAAGCGTTTTCTACAGAGTTCTATGCAATAGAACCGATAAATAATTTTTTAAAAATTAATATTGGCCAAAAAATGTCTAAGACAGATAGGGAAGATTTGCTGTCCGAAATGACGGAGTTCTGGCTTTATACAAATAGTTTTCGCATAGATCCGAACATATTTAAGCCTTTTCTACAGAGTTCTATGCAGAAGAACCGATAAATAATTTTTAAAAAATTAATACCGCCCGAGAACGGTCTTTAAGACAGATAAGACAGAGTTCTGGTTTTATACAAATAGTTCTCGCATAGTTCCGAACATATTTAAACCTTTCCTACAGAGTTCTATGCAGAAGAACCGATAAATGATTTTAAAAAAATGAATACTGCCCGAGAACGGTCTTTAAGGCAGATAAGTATAATTTGCGGTCCGAAATGACGTAGTTCTGGCTTT